TACCATACAGCTGCTTTGAGTATTGTCAAAAACCCTTCATTAGTAGCGTTACAATTATTTCTTATATTTGATAATTCGTAAATAATTTTCTTCTGAGACTGCAAGTACCAGGAGTCGAAGTCATGCCCTGCTAAATATGAAGCTCAGAGTCAGCATTCATTAGCCAACTGACCCAAAGTTAATAGAAAAATGTTACGGTATATGTAGTCATTAAAAATTATGCTGATATTTTTCTCAAATAATAGCTAAATGATACATCAGTTCTGAAATAAATATTTATGTTAAATGTATAGCAGTAATTAAGAATTATGAAATCTTCAATTAAGAGTTGCTCCGATATATTAACATTGAAATCAAATTAATTTAAAAAAAAAAACACAAAACTAAAAGTTTCCCGTAAATGTTTTTATTGTTTCAATGCTTCTTTGTGATGGATTCCCTCACAATTCCTCTATCTTACCATCATCAATTTCATATTTTCGGTTTATTCAGCTTTTGATTTCTAACTCCTCCAAATCCTAGTGAACAATGAAGCACTTCATCATTATTGTTGTGGAAAATGTAAGTTGATGGCTGTTAAGCTGCAAGAGAGAATATTTCTTCAATTTCTTCTGGGAAGAAGCAATGAATGAAAGTTTTTAGTAAGTGAAAATTATTATCGTCACGAGTGCAATTGTGTGGAATAAAGTTATTGAATTTCAACAGAAACAATTTATGAAACAATAAAATGAACAGACAAATAAAACTGAAACAATAATGTTGCAATTCGTTTATGGAAAAAAATGAAAAAAGAAATATTAATTAAATTAATTATTAAAGCAAATGTTTGACTTTTGATTAATCAGTTTTAGTTTAAGATAGACTTAATTAAATTCTTGTGTACTCGAAAAACAAACAACGACCCCACGAAGGGAATGGGCAGGAACTTTTAAGTCAAATAATTATGCAGCAAAACACGAAAATTTTGTTTATTTAAGCGATTTTTGCGTGAATTTTAAAATTTTATGAAATTTCCATCGCAGGATAATTCAAAATATTAGAAAGTCACGTTCTTCATACTACGACGCGACAGTCACTACAGTAATTTAATATGTGCATACATTTGCCTCCCCGCAGGAGGCGCAAATCAAGCATCTGTAATTAATTCAGCAACTTCGGCAGTTCAGTTCTGGAAGTGTTTATTTAATTTTCGGAATTATTTGAGCCTCGCACCGTTTGTAGGCGAAGCGATTTGATGATTTCAGTTAGTAAAAGTACAAAATATTATCTAAAACATTTTGCTTTTATTATTTTTGGGTGTCTTAGAAGTTTGACACTTAACTTATCAAAAATGCTAATTAAGCCAACGGCAATTCGATAGTAAAGTGATTATTAATGCAATTTTTGGTTAAGATAAAAGTGATGAAAGTTTTCCACTATTTCGTTTTGAAAATGAAAATTATTCCAAATATATTTATATTACAAATAAAAAGAATTATGAGCATAATATTTTTTTATCAAATATATTGTAACGACATGGATACGTCCTTTGACTTTGCTGAGGTATTACTCCAGGTCGTTGCAATAAACTTGTTTTATTGACTAGTTCGAGAGATAGTAAAAGGCCAGGGAGAAAGTAAGGACGTTGTTTATTTAATATCTAAAAAAAAAATATCTAAAAAAAAGGAATTCTAGTCTATGTTGTTATAATTCTAAGCTGTTACAATAGGTTGTAGCCAATGGCATCAAAAAGCCGGAACGTTATATACCATAATAATACATCAAAATACCGTGCGGCATTATAAACTATTACAATACAATGATCCTAGCCTGTGGTATGCCGGTGGCGTTATAAATTATTATATATTATTATTATTTAAATATATTTTTTTATTTATTGTAATTATATATCCATATATTATATATCCAGACTGATTTATAAGTTCGAGTTTCAGAATGAAATTGAAACATATTACTATGACCATTTACTTAATTTTTAACAAAGGAAATATTGAAGTATTTTTAAAAGGTGAGATATATTTTAAGAAAACAGCATTTTAACGAAGAATCATCATTCGTATGTATGTCTATATTACAGCCTTCACAAGAATGATAAGATATTCTGAAAGAATTACTTGCTGTCTCCTAACAAACAATAGAGATGAAGACTTTTTAAGAGCATAAAATCTGCCTTTACTTCTTATACTATTGAATTACAATAATAATTAATACATGATTCCCTAAAATTAAGAACAATGTTATCTGTTGACTCTAAGCAAAAGTTTATACATTTATTTTGCCAACATATGCACTATCTTATCTTATCAAGTAACCAAGATCAAAAAGATCGAAGTCATTCAATATTGTATGTCAACGGTTTTTTTCGATTATCGTGATTTCCTGCATCGTGAGTGCCTTCCACCGGTGCAAACGGCTAACAGGGAACTGTATTTGAGCATTATGCAATGTTGATGTAAAGCTATTCACAAAAAATCATTATTATGAGGAGATAGTTCCAGTTTTTGCAACACGACAATATATCACCCTACTCAAACATTATATTGCCCTGAGCTCAAAGTATTCCCCGCAGGGATATAACATAGTTAAGACAGAATTAGGACAGTTTCACAACTGTTTTTAGTATTGAACAAAACTATGGGATAAGTATATTATATCGGGAAGAGTGTACTTTGAAGGCGTAAAATAGATTTATAAGGAATAAATAAGTTATAAACAAATTCACGTTATTTTTTTTATCATAGTATTAGTACAAACAGATGTGACTTCTTTTTTCGTTTCTAAAAATGTTTTTCTAATTTGTTATTCTGTAAGAACTATACACTTTAACAAGCTCTAGCAAAAATTAAGTAATTCCTTTAAATATTAAAATTAACAAAAAAAATTTGACAGCTGCTGTCAGATCTGCCGGATTGTGCTCAAAAATCCCAAAAAATAACTAACAAAAAATATAAGTTGAGCTTTGTTGAATAATTATTAACTGTCTTTCCAACTTGATGGTATGTAGAACGCCAACAGCTACGTCCTCCTTTGTTGTGCAACAAGGATTAGGAAGTGAAAGGACTACTAATTATTCTCATAAATATGCAACAAATTTGTGTTGTCATTTTTGTTGCGAAAATTAAGTCAAACATAAGTGAACAATAAAATTTCCATATTTTCAACTGAATTATTTAACAAAATTTCTGCAAAGTCTAATTTGTAGTTATGTAAACATCAATGTTGACAAGATTTAATAAAAAATTTTTAATAAATAAATATTTAAACAAAACAATCAACATTAAAAAATGTATAATTTTTGAATTTTTTCTACACTACCTAGAAATATTTATTTAATTAATAAATTATAAAATATTAAAACAAATAAATTACTAAGGTATTATATCACTATCAGCATTATTGAAATCGGTTTTTAGAAGCTTTGAATTTCTTTTCAGTTGACAAAAATACAGCACATTAATAATCATTAATAAATTATCAATTACTGTCAATTAATTAAATAGAGTTTATATCCTTTTGACAAACAATTTCGTTTAATTATAATATTGTGACAATTATGGCTACTTACTGCACATAAATGTTTTATTTCCTTTATAATGAGTATAAAAATTAATGACAATAAATTGACTACCGCCCTGAGCGACTCCCTTCAGTTAAATTGAAATTCCTTAACAAGGATTTATACTTAATCGTCTCATAAATATTTTGGTTTATTAAAAAATTTATGAGACTTAACGAGCATGAATTCGTGTGCTCCTGCAACGACTCACGTCAAACTATGGGAACCACATGAAGGTTGAAATTTTGATTTTTTCATTTTTATTCCTTGCCGGAGAGTAATTAATTTCTGGAAAACATGTAAAAGCGTTTTTGAGAAGCGACTGGGTGGAACACGAGGATAAAATAATTTTAATTAATTTTTATTTAGGCTAAATTAACAGCATAAAATGCAGTTAAGACTTCAGAGTACATGTCGAATATATAAAATGGTTATCATTGATGGTTAGCTTAACTTTATATACCTAAATGAGAGTATCAGATTTTTGAAAAATCTATATACATATATGCTCGAGTACTTAGTAAAGAAGATTTAGGATTTTAAAATTCTTTATTTTAATGAAACCAACACTTACACGTGTTGATAAGATAGATTCTTCAATGAAAGACTGTAAACTTTTCATGACACTTACCAAATAAAAGTGAAGTTACTGCATATATAAGAATATGCTTATATATCCCTTAAAAGAGTTGATTTTAAAAAATTAATTACGGTTAAGTTAGAGTATATCGCAGTCATTATGTTGTTTACCATGTTATTATCACATTAAGTACAATTCAGTCTGTTATTGGAGATTTTTATTTTAAACCTTTGAGGTCCACAATTTCTGAAACTGAATAACTGACTTCACTTAAATCTATTGTCAAATGCTACTGCTCGGAAAATCAAAAATGGGCTAAATACAGAATATGTATTCCAAAAATATTGAATATCTACAGTTCAATTAAGAACGGTTGTTGACAAAATTGATCTGATATTGTTACAGTGCTTCTCCAAGTTGGAAGATAATACCCTCTAAGTTCTTATTCTGTTCAACAAAGCGATATCTTGTTCCAGCAAAGTGAATTAATCTCAGTTGAAGTTAAGAGTCACAGAAAAATAGCAAACATCTACTTCATCCGTAGTTTTTCGGATTAAGGGGGCTGGAATCCTCCTCCTCTCCTTCTCTCGCACCCGAAATGAAAATTAAAATTGGGATTTATACATAACATTTTTTACAAGATAATATTTTTTTTGAATAGCTGAAGCTATCTGAAAGGTCCACCCAAAAGAAATTTCTAAATACTGATCTGTTCAACAGATATTGCTCTTTTTATTCAAACAATGGTATAGT